TCGCGTGGGCCGAGGAACGAGAAATAGAAGTCATAGGAAAGCAACCTAGCGAACAGCAAACCTAGTAAAACTATTCTTATTCGGTTTAGAAACTGGAAAGCTGCAAGGTTTCTGAGATCAGTGAAATGCGCCCGAGGAAGACCAAATTTTCAGCATTGCCAGAATAAAAAATGACTGGTATTTCACATATCAATTAAAAATCGAGAAGGGGAGGGGAAGAACCTTTTTAAAACAGAACGTCAGAAAACAGGTGATATACTTTCTTGGTGTTACTTCAAGAACAGAACACAGAACAGCTAGATGCACAACCTAATCTGATTCATTACTACTAAAGCAAAGGCCTATTAGTACAAAATATACGGATTTGCATTTAAAACAGTTTTTAAGACTTCTTTCTCCCATAACAAGAACAGGTTCACGCTGCAACAATACTGTAAAAAAAATACATAACCGTCTTCCAAATTCCACCAAGCTGTCCAAGATTCCCAGGAAGCCTTGTTGTACTGTCCTCTGCTGGCTTGCTGCAGCTTGTTATTTCCAGTGTAATTTTGTACCAGCTACACAAGGTCAAAAATGGCTGCATACATTACAAGTGGTTCAAGACAGAAGGAATCCCTCATGCAGATTTTTAAAAGAGAATAGAGACTGCAGATTTATCAAGTCGGAAAAAAGGGCAACTGCAAGCAGAAACTACAGACTTCGGATGTTTTGGACCTAAAACTTTATATGGAAAGAAAAAATACCTCTCATCTCTATAAACAGGTATCTGTATTATCTCTATTTTCTCCATTATCTTACTTATGCACAAAAGTAAATATGCCAGTTTAAAAAAAAAAAAAAGAGAAAAGAAAAAAAAAAACCCACCACAACGCAAACCATCCAATGCTGACAACTGATAATGACATCAGAGTCACTCAACTAAACTCATCACAAGAAACTTGCCTTTAATATTGTGTGTGCACAATTTTTTCTTTTCTTTTCTTTTTTTTTTTTTTTTTCCCCCCCCCAAAATTTTTTTTTTTTTTTTTTTTTTTTTTTTTTTTTCCCCCCCCCCCAAAAAGCTCTTTGCTACCAACCTCTGGAAGGGTCTTTTCCATACCAGATGTGTTTTCTTCTCAGATTCAAAGGCTTTTGATTTTTACATAGCTACATATAAAGTATTAAGAACAAAAATCCTATAAACTTGCAAAGAACATTGACTACCTTAGAATTTATGGAGCTGAATTACAGCATAAAATATTTCACTGACTGTACCAGTCTGCCAAAATAAGTAATGAAGACAACCTGAAGATTTCATTCTTCCCATTTAAATTTTGAAGTAAGAGAGTATTGTAACCTTTAGACTGATTTTACATTATTTTCCTCTTATGTAAGTTAACCTACCGATTCATCCATGATTGAAGCGGGGTCAAAGAAATCTGGTTTTAGTTCCATTCTTTCTCTCCTGTTCTTTGATGGTGGCTTTAGAAAGCAAACAAACAAACATGTTAACATGTAATTTCAGGGGAAAAAAAAAAAGTTTTTTTAAACTGTAATAAATGAAGCTGAACTCTCAAGAGGTAAGAATTTACAGGGGATAAATGTTCATCTCTTACATTATCATTACAGGAAGTGTTCTTGCTTTTTGTATGGCATTTTGAACAGATGGCACTTGTACAGACAGTGGCACAGCCACAGCCACTTAAGAATGCAAAGATCAACAAGAATGATTTTTCTGTTTCACCCAAAGGAAAATTTGGTTCAAATACCCTACTTTAAAAGCAGAAACACAAATCTGAAATCCACTAAAAAGACAAGTATATGTCTTACTAGGTCTATGTCCATGGTGTCAAAATCCATGCCTTCATTGAGATCTTCAATCCGCCCTTCTGATGACATCATCACATCTTCAACAATTGGCTCTTCATCATCTTCCATTAGACTTGTGCCACGTCGACTGAAATGAAAAGAAAAAGCATATTCTTTAGCACTAAATCAAGTTAAGTTTTATCTGAGTATTTAAAAAGCTAATGTTCAGTAAAGAACTGCCAACAAATGACAACTCCATTTGATAGAAAAGAAATGAAATAGTTAAATAAATGCATAACTACCATTAAAGAAAGCTGGTATTTAACCAGCTAGACGATACTAAGAGAGTGAGGGAGAAGGACTAACAAAGATCAACTTATGGAACTTTGTGGTACATCTCTAAATGGGTATTCTGAGAGGCTGCAGGAATTGATAAGCAGATCAAAACCACACCTAATTCAGAGATTTCCATGCAAGTATTTATGCTCAAGTGAGAAAGAACATAAGTTTTGCCACCTAAAGAAAAATTGTTCCTGCCTTATGACAAGGCAAGGAAGAACGTCTTTGCGATAAAGTGGATGCATAAATCCATTTTCAGACATTGCCACACAGTCCTTCACCCTCTTTCCTTGCAATTTCTACATGCAACATCAGATGTTATGAGAAAAGTAAGGAGTCATTCTAATTATACTAACTGGTGTCACTATTTAAAAAAAAAAAAAAAAAAAAACAACAAAACACCACCACCCAAACAAACAAACCAACCAACCACACACACACTGAAACTGTATTACATGAAGTACTGATATTAAAGAATTAAAAACAAGTAGGGAAAAGATGTAAAGCTCCTCAATAATGTATGTCCATGGTTTTACTTTACAACTTGTATTTTTCTTCTGTAGAACCACACAGTCTTCATTAAAGCAGACAACTTTTAAAAGTAGTCTTGCCTCCTCAGCTAAACTAGCTCTGGAATGTAATTTCATTAGCGTGCATGTCAAAATGCACATGTGATGAATCAGAATGAAGTAAATGACACTACAGTAAGAATGTATGACCTCTGAAGGACAACATTCATTTAAGAAACATCAGACTGTCTTCATCTTTGTTCACAGTATGGAGGACTTCACAAGGTTTTTGTGTGTTTTGGTTGGAAAGTTCTACAAAAACTGGTACTATGGGATTCCTCTCAATTTTGGTGTCAGTTTAGGTTAGACAAAATCTGTATTGATCACAGAAATGCTGAAGACAGCAGTTTCTTTAAAAGGAATACTTTTTATTAAGTAAAAAAGCAGCTGAACTCTAAACTTACAACTCAGAAGTCAAAGGAGAAAGAAATAGCAGAATTAAACTGAGCAGAAACTTTCTGCTTCACATACTGAACACCTATTTTAAAACTAATTTTTAATGTTCTATTTCTAAAAAGGATTCTGCAGTTAGAAATACGTAAAAAAGATGTTTCATATGTTGCATTTCTTATAAATATCCACCACAGATAGCATTCAGTTCAATGAGTTCCCTTTATTACAAAGCTCCCTACTACTTAAATTTTCTGGAATTTAAGTTCAGAAAAAGCAAGAAATCAAACAGACCTATTCTGCTAAATGCATCACCATGCACTTTTACCACTGCTTTTCTAAGGCAACTTAAAATTTTAAGATACAGAAAACACTAGTCAGGAACTAGAACATGTACCCCTCTTAAAAGATACAGGAGTAACACTGCATTTAATAAACCCTTCGCTCCCCAAACCACTGAAGGAACATTTCACTCTCACTCACATAGCGTGTTGCAAGTTGGTTCTCAGCTTGACGTAGTTCATCGCTGCCCTCTCCTGTTGTTGTCGCGCGGCTTCTTCCTGTTGCCTTTGAGCCAACATCCACGTTACTTGCGTGCTTAAAAAGACCATTATTCTATTTTAAACATGAACTGGTTTTGTGTATGAACACTAACACAAAGCAGACCTACTCATCTACGTACTTGTAATCGAGTGGAGCTTGGTGGTGTTCAGGCTGCATAGGATAGACACCCATGTAACTTTCTTCGGGTCGCAATCTCTTGGGCTCCCTCATTATTGTGGAAGTAAGCTGAGGAGTCTGCATCATGACCGGTGTGTGCATTGTCTGCTCCCTGTTCAGCCACATACTGTCACTACTGCTGCTTTCTTCAGCTGGAAGGAAACATCGGACATCGGTAAATTCTAACTAGTCTAAAACTGAATGTTTAAACATGACTTAAATGCATGTGCTTTCTGCTTACTGAGAATCAATTTCTTTACTTTTTCCACAGTCTTAAATGCGCCCCAAAAGGCCCGGATTTATAGCCACTGGCTAGAGTATTTAAAATACTTTTATATTCTGTGACTTAACGCAGTGTAGTGCCTTTATTTCCTTTTGTGAATCAGTGTTATGTTATTCAGACTCTTCAAATGAATAGTTTCCCGCTAAGACATATACATTCACAGAAGTTATCCTGTTTCAAAAAAATACATTAAATTATACAAGTTCACTCAAGCTAACAAATAGGGATCAACATGTAGTTTATGTTAATATCTACTGTAGTAAATCTTAAGATAAGAAAAGTTCTACCTTCAGGTACTTTCCGCTTCCCTGTTGCCGGCTTTGTCTTCTTATTTCTTACTGTAGATCCTCGACTACTAATTCCACTAATCACTGACATAGTATCATCATCCCCACCAGCTAATAAAGAGTTTCTGTAGGACATGAGAGGAAGCCACACATCTTCTCTTCGTAGAGACATCTGAAAGGTCATAAACTTCTCCAAGTAAACATACCTTTAAATGGAAAAAATAATTACAAAGATGCAAAGTATCCGTAACAAGACGTTAACACATCAAGATAATTAACTACTGAAAATAACACCCAATGCTCCTCATCTAGTTAACAAGAAGGCCTGACAACAGCAAATCCAGAACATGATTTCTGTTCATCCACTATAAAATGAGAATAACAAGGATAAACACAATTTACCATTTGTGATTACACTTGACTGCATTAGTGTAAAGTTATCTTGATGTGCTAAAGGTTGCACTTCAGATGAATGCAATACACATAAATACGTATTTATTCAGATGCATGTCTTTTACCGTTATCATTACAAATATTAACAATATTAAGAAAATACTTACACTGTTCTTTTGTCTTGTCTGAGAAGTTTGGAGGAGAACTCACTCAGAATATCAAGAAACGCCAAATTTAATGGTGGGTGGCTCTCACCTTGTGGATTCGGCTCCTTAAAAGCAAATTCTATGCCATCCCTAAGGAAAAGTTAAAATTAAGTCACATAAAGCACAAACTAAAGAAAAGGTTCTAAGCACTGGGAGCTATCAAAACTGAACAGCTTTCCCCTACTACATCAAGCAAGCCACAATTCTATGTTTCCATATTCTGGCAAAAAAGCAAACA